CATAAATAAAGTTCAGTAAGGGAAAAATAGTTTGTACCTTTGGAAAAGTTTAACCTAGCTGGTAAAAAACATGGTCACAGAGTGGTGGAATTAATCTTGAAATCATTTTGAGATCAATTTGAGATTTTTTGAACCAAAAGTACAGATTTTAAAAGGAAATATTTTTTCCCCTTTCGGCTGCTGGAAAGCAGGTTTTAAGCTGAAAGCAGTTAGAGGAGTTTTTTTTGTCTCTGCTTGGGGGCCAGAATTGTCTTTTGTGAGCTGAAATTTTCTCTACCTAAAAGCAGGGTAGTTAACCTCCTGCAGGGAAATTCATTAGTCTTCACAGACCTGAAAAAGGTTTTTTTTTACCTAAGAGCAACTAGAGGGGTTTTCTGTCTATTTGCCTGGAGACAAGGTGTTAGGATTTTTCTGTAGGCTGACAATCACTATCAGAGAATATAGGTATCATATTACAGCACAGCAAAATTTTTACAAGCCAAGGTTTTTTTGTTTGTTTCTTTTATTTCTATCTCTTGGGTGTAAAGTTAGTTAAAAACACAGAGGCAAAGATGGCAGAAACCAAGACACAACACAAATTGAAGTTAATCAGACTGGAGGCAGTGAAAGAGGCAGAAAAAAGCCCAAGAATCTGCCCACAGGAGAGAGCTATGGAGGTAAAGGACAAAGATATGGAGGCAGCGAAAGAGGAAGAAAAAAAACCAAGGGGCTGCCCACAGGAGGAGAGCTATGGAGGCAAGGGACAAAGAAATGGAGGAGAAGGAAAAGAGAGGAAGCATGTGTGGAGGAGGAGAAGGAAAAAGAGAGCTAAGATGCACTGGAGATGGAGAAGGCAAAGGCTCAGCAGAATATACCAACAAACCCTAGCAACCCTTCCTCCAGGTACCACTTCCCATCCCAGACAGTTCCCCCACTTACAAGGTAGTTTGCGATGGCGAGACCTTCTTAGAAAACTTTGAAAGGGCCTGCCTTGGGTACAGCATCTCTACCGACAATACATGGTAGAGCTGAGACTGCAGCTCAGTGGACCCTTCGCTGAGGTGGCGGATGAAATGCCTAAGGAATACATGAACAAGTATGAACTGTTTAAAACCAAGGCAAGAGCAGAATGGGGCTAACACCCGAGCATTCCCGTCGATGGTTCCAGAGCTCTAAGGTGGAAACTGAGACGTGTCATTTTACCAGACATACCTACCACATTGTGAAACATTGGGATGTCTGGATATCAGGAGCAAGTGTTAAATCTCCAGAAGATTTGCCCTTCCTAATGCAAATGGCTCAGTTCTAAGAGGGTGTTCCTGAGGAAATAGAAAGATACACCCTAGATGGGAAGCCCAGAACTGTAATCGAGGCAGGGAGATTGCAGCTGTCAAGGTTCCTTCCCCACTCTGAACTCTAGGGTACAGAGGGGACCTGCATTAAAGCCTCCCTAAGCTTACTTTTACCAGCTTAGGGTTAAAACTTCCTCCTAAGGTACAAACTGATTTTACCCTTTGCCCTTGGATTTCCACTGCCACCACCAAACTTTATCTGGGCTTACTGGAGAACGTAGTTTGGACACATCTTTCTCCCCCAAATCCTCCCAACCCTTGCACCCCACTTCCTGGGGAAGGTTTGGTAAAAATCCTCACCAATTTCCATACGTGACCACAGACCCAAACCCTTGATCTTAGAACAATGAAAAAGCATTCAGTTTCCTTACAAGAAGACTTTAATAGAAGTAAAGGAATCACCTCTGTAAAATCAGATGGTAGATACCTTACAGGGTAATTAGATTCAAAACATAGAGAATCCCTCTAGGCTAAAAATCTTAAGTTACAAAAAAGACACACAGACAGGAATAGTCATTCTATTCAGCATAGCTCTTTTACTCAGCCATTTAAAGAAATCATAATCTAACACATACCTAGCTAGATTACTGACTAAAAAGTTCTAAGACTCCATTTCTTTCTGTCCCCGACAAAAGCAGCATACAGACAGACACAGATCCTTTGTTTTTTCCCTCCTCCCGGCTTTTGAAAGTATCTTGTCTCCTCATTGGTCATTTTGGTCAGGTGCCAGGGAGGCTACCTTAGCTTCTTAACCCTTTAGAGGTAAGAGGATTTTTCCTCTGGCCAGGAGGGATTTTAAAGGGATTTACCCTTCCCTTTATATTTATGACAGGCCCCCAAATCTCAGCTAGGGTGAAACACTGGCAGGGATTTCTTTCTGGAGCTCTAGGAAAAAAACAGAGTTAATAAGACACATGCACCTCTAAATATACTACCAAGTACAGAAAGACTAACAATATTTTCCACATCTCAAGGACGATTTTAGCCAGTTGATTCTGGGAAACTTTCACGGGAGAGTGCATCAGCCACTTTGTTAGAAGCTCCTGAGATGTGTTGGATGTCGAAATCAAAATCTTGGAGAGCTAAACTCCAACGAATAAGTTTTTTGTTATTTCCCATGGTGGTATGAAGCCACTGTAGTGTAGCATGGTTGGTTTGTAGGTGGAAACGCCCCGGTCCCCAAACATATGGGCGTAGGGCTTTTCCATGGCATAGACAATGGCGTAACATTCCTTTTTCACTGACTGTCCAGTTGCTTTCCCTCTCAGACAGTTTTTTGCTGAGAAACACTACCGGGTGGAATTCTTGATCAGGTCCTTTCTGCATTAAAACTGCCCCCACACCACGCTCAGAGGGCATCTGTGGTTACTAGGAACGGTTTGTCAAAGTCTGGGGCCCTTAGGTACAGGGTCAGACATGAGTGTCGCTTTAAGCTTGTTAAAGGCCTTCTGACACTCTTCAGTCCATTGAACCGGCATTTGGCTGTTTCTTTTTGGTTAGGTCTGTCAGTGGGGTGGCGATTTGGCTGTATTGCGGTACAAATCGTCTGTAATAACCGACCAGGCCTAAGAAGGATTGAACCTGTTTCTTTGACTTTGGGACAGGCCACTTTTGGATAGCATCCACTTTGGCCTGTAGGGGGCTGATAGTTCCTTGACCCACCTGGTGTCCAAGGGAAGTCACTCTGTTTAGGCCTATTTGACACTTCTTAGCTTTAACACTTAGTCCTGCCTCCCTTATGCGCTCAAAGGACTTTTGTAGATGTTCCAGGTGTTCTGCCCAGGAATCCAAAATATGGCCACATCGTCAAGGTAGGCAACCTGCATATTCTCCTAATCCCACTAGGAGACCATCTACAAGTCTTTGGAAGGTGGCGGGTGCATTTCACAGCCCGAAAGGGAGGACATTAAATTCATACAGCCCGACATGTGTGGTGAAGGCTGACCTTTCCTTGGGGGATTCATCTAGCGGTACTTGCCAGTACCCCTTGTTTAAGTCCAAGGTAGAGATGAACTGGGCATGTCCCAGTTTCTCTAATAGCTCATCTGTGCGGGGCATTGGATAGTTGTCTGGGCGAGTTACAGCATTTAGCTTACGGTAGTCCACGCAAAAACGTATCTCCCCATCTGGTTTGGGAACTAGAACCACTGGAGATGCCCATGCACTTCCAGAGGGGCGGATTACACCCATCTGTAACATATCCTGGATCTCCTGTTCATAGCAGTTTTGCTTGAGGAGACACCCGGTAAGGTTGGACTTTTAATTGGGTGAGCATTACCTGTGTCAATGGAGTGGTATGCCCGTTCAGTCAGTCCTGGGGTGGCTGAGAACGTTGGCGCGTAGCTAGTGCACAGCTCCCTGGATCTGCTGTCGCTGCATACGCCCAAGGGTCATGGAGAGGTTCACCCTCTTCCACGCCACCAGCACTTTTCCCTTCGTAGTAGACACCTTCAGGCCACTCAGCATCCTCTCCCTCCCTGGGCTCTGACAAACTGACAAACCTTTAATTCTCTGGAATAAAAGGGGCTTTAGAGAATTAATATGGTACACCTTAGGCTTTCGGTTGGAGGTGGGGAATGCTATGAGATAATTAACAGCTCCCAGGTGCTCCTGGACCGTGAATGGCCCTTCCCATGATGCTTCCATTTTATGGGCCTGGAGTGCCTTTAAGACCATGACCTCGTCTCCTACTTTGAAGCAACGCTCTCTGGCATGTTTATCATACCAGGCTTTTTGCTCTTTTGAGCATCCTGTAAGTTTTCTTTAGCAAGGGCTAAAGAGGTTCGAAGGGTGTTTTGTAGGTTGGTTACAAAGTCCAGAATGTTAGTTCCTGGAGAAGGTGTAAATCCCTCCCATTGCTGCTTCACCAACTGTAATGGCCCCTTAACCTCACGGCCATATACAAGTTCAAAATGTGAAAAACCTAAACTGGGATGTGGTACAGCTCTGTAGGCAAAGAGCAACTGCTGCAACACTAGGTCCCAATCATTGGAGTGCTCATTTACGAATTTACGTATCATGGCCCCCAAAGTTCCATTAAACATGCCATTTGTTTGATGGTGGTAAGGAGTGGCAACCAAGTGATTTACCCCATGAGCTTCCCAAAGGTTTTCCTTCCCTTCCCCTCGCTGCCCCCAGCAAAGTTCATTTCTTCAAACTTCTGCAATGGTGAATGGGTAGAGACTTGCCTGGCAAAGGTCCCTGCCGTGGTTACAGGTTCCTAGATGACTGGGGGCAGAGAGAGGAAGGGCTCGACCTCGACCTGGCCCTGGTAGCTGCCGATGCCGCTGGCAGAAGGGTGGCACATACAGCAAAATTGTAACGTGCTTCCTTGAGTCCAAATGGAACAGGCTAAAGCAGGTTACCCCACCTAAACCAAGCTCCTTGCATCTCGGACCAGCACCGCTGGGCCCCCTCTTGCCGAATCGCTGCCCCTTTGCTTCAGCGGTGAAGGATACAGGGGCATCCGTTTACCTTCTCCTTCTACCCGCCGAAAGTTTGTTTGGCCTGAAAGTCAGGAGCACGTTCCCCTCCCACCGTGGTTTATTCTCCAGCATGATGACCCCATAGCTTTGTGTTACCTTCCTATGTCCATGGGGCATGCATGAGGCTGGCTTACAAAGTTTAATTGACATCAACGGAGGTGGACTGACAAATGTACGTCCTACATCTGGCAGAAACTTGTCTGCTGACCCTGCCTTTATTCAGACTTTAAAATGTGTTTTCCATATGCACATATGCGCGTAGCTCCTCACCTCATGACAGGGCCTACATTTCACACAGATATCAATACCGTGTGCTCCTGGGATGCATTTGAAGCATTACAAGACACTATTTGTGGCTAAATACCATGACAGCGGTGTGTTAGGTGCAGCGAGTTTGTCCGGCCTGTTAGGAGTTGCTGACACAGGGCACTGAACCCGCTGCCAGCAGGTACCGATGGGCCTGGGTGTCACACAGTCATTGGAGGTTTTCAGGAGCGGGTTGGACCAATGTCCCCTCTTAGAATCTGTGGGCGATGGCTGCCCCGCTGTGGAGTGGTTTGTGGTTGACATGTCTGGGCCACGCTACAGCCCTGTCACCGCATTCATCACCCCCAGATTGGGTCGGGGGCGCTGTTCAGATCAGGCGGGCCGTATCAGACAGCTCCTCAGTGCCGTCCTCCTCCTCCCCTTCGCTGGCAGTGCCCTCGGCCTGGTTCTTATCCTTCTGGGCCATCTTCTTACCAACTCCCCATCCCACGCCCCCACCCATGCACCCCCCAGCCACGGCACCCGCCCCAGCACCAATGGCCACCGCCTCAGCGATGCCGAGCGCCGCAGCTTCAGCAGCAATGGCAGCAGCGGCAATTCCCGCCGCAGCACCTCCACCCACCGGTGCCAGGACCAGCCCCCCCACCCCAACGCCCGCTGCAATGGCAAATTTCTTGAAGCGCTTCCTGTAGGTCTCCAGGAAGGTCTCAGCCTCCAACATCAGCCCCTCCTCCAGCTCCTGCAGCAGGGCCTCTTTCTTCTGCATCAGCTCCTTCTCCAGCTCCGTCCCCAGGGCCTCTTTCTTCTGCCTCAGCTCCTTCTCCATCTCCGTCTCCAGGGCCTCTTTCTTCTGCCTCAGCTCCTTCTCCATCTCCGTCTCCAGGGCCTCTTTCTTCGGCAGCATGTCTGTCTGGCACTGCCACAGCAAGTCCCCACGCCGCTCTGCGAACTGCTTGGCCATCTTCTCCGGCGTCACCTTCAGGCATTTAAGTGGGTTCCTGGAATTGGTGTCCTGCAGTAGCAGGGAGAGGAGACAGCCAAGAGTATTAGATGTGGCAAGTGCTGCTTAGACCCTGTGACGAAGTGGGACTGTTCTTAATGTTTCCTCTGAATAGTGTGGGGGTGCCTCAGTTTCCCCTATGCAGTTCTTAAGTCTCTAGGTGGTGGGATAAGGGTGCGTGATCAGTGCAGAGCCCTAGAGGGCAGGTGTGTGCAGGGGTCTGGACAGAGAGAATGGCCGACACCCAGTTTCCTGGCCACTGATGGCCTGGCCTTTCCCCCCTGCAAGGTGAGCGCTAAAGGGTTGGAGAACAAAGGAATCAGGTGCCCTTCTGGCCTGGGAACGGGGCAAAGCCCAGAGGAGGGAGTTTGAGTTTGGGACTGGCTGGGACATGGAGTGAAGTGCAGATGTGGTTGTCTGGCTCACTGCCCCCCAAATTGGACCCAGCTGAGGGGTCCTGTTCTCTGCACCTACAAGCTCTGTTTTAGACCATGTTCCTGTCGTCTAATAAACCTTCTGTTTTACTGGCTGCCTGAGAGTCCCGTCTGACTGTGGAGTCGGGGTGCAGGACCCTCTGGCTTCCCCAGGACCCCGCCTGGGCGGACTCTCTGTGGGAAGCGCCCGGAGGGGCAGAGGAGGCTGAATGCTCCGAGGTCAGACCCAGGAAGGTGGAAGCTGTGTGAGCTGTGTGTCCTGAAGACAGTCTGGTCCCAGAAAGGAGACTTCCCCAGAATCCTGCCTGGCTGCATAGGGAGCAGTTCCCGAGCATCGCCCGGGGACTCCGTGACAGACCCTGACCAAGATGGGGGCCCTTGTTGTACAAACACCCTCCAACTGAGATCAGGGCTGCCATCGTGCCAGGATCCCACAACTCAAATTGGACCCCCCGTCATGCCAGCTGCTACACAGACCAACCCCCCAAGTGAGATCGGGGCCCCAGGTGTGCGAGGTGCTGCACACCCCTCTCCCCATGACTGAGACTGGGCCCCCATTATGCCGGGTGAGGCACAGTTCTCTGGACTGAGATCGGGGCTGCCATCATGCCAGGTGCTGCTCAGAGCCCCCAAAACTGAGTTCCCCCCCCCCCGCAGGGTTTGGGATTGGAGTCTCTCATCTCTTCAGCCACCCTGGGAGCTGGAAATGTGAACTCCCACCTCATCCCCAAAGCCCACAGCCCGGGGGGCTGCCCAGGATGGTTCCCTGAGGTTCCCCTGGTGGGAGGCACAGCCCTCCTGCCCCAGATTCACCTTCTCCTTCAGAAACTCAGCGTGGTCTGCGTGGGCTGCGCGGGCCCTGGCCAGGGCTCTCTGGTTGGTGTGACACAGATAGCGCTTTCGGTAGGTCTCCAGGAAGGTCTCGGCCTCCCGAGTCAGCTGCGCTTTTAACGCCATCAGCAGCATCTCCTCCGGCTCCTGCAGCTCCTCCCGGCACCGCTCCAGCAGTGACCTGCGCTTCTCCACCAACTGCTCCGCCATTGCGCTCGGATCCACCGTCAGACAGTCGTCCATGCGCCGGGACAGGCCGTCCTGCGTTGAGCCGGAGAGGAGGGGAGAATAGTGGGATGCAAGGGGTTAGAAGGGGCGGGTGTGTGACCCCGTCTCACCAATAGACCCTCTGGTTACAGCACAGCAACTTCCTCCACCCTCCTGACCGAGATCCAGGCCACTGCTGTGCCGGGGTTGCAGTCTCCCATCTCCGCAGCCCCCTGAAAGCGGATATGAGGTCTCCTCTCCTGCCACAAAGCCCGTAACCCACGGGGTTGGCTGGGATGTTCCCTGGGGTTCCCCTGGCTGGGGGCACAGCGACACCCCCTGGACTCACCTTCTCCTTCAGAAACTCAGCGTGGTCTGCGTAGGCCCTGGCCAGGGCTCTCTGGTTCGTGTGATGCTGATAGCGCCTTCGGTAGGTCTCCAGGAAGGTCTCGGCCTCCCGAGTCAGCTCCGCCTCTAGGGCCGTCAGCAGCGTCTCCTCCTTCAGCTCCTTCACCTCCTTCCGGCACCGCTCCAGCAGTGACCTGCGCTGCTCCATGAACTGATGCGCCATTGCACTCGGATCCACCGTCAGACAGTCGACCATGCGCCGGGACAGGCCGTCCTGCGTTGGGCCAGAGAGGAGGGGACAATAGTGGGGTGCAAGGGGCTAGAAGGGGCGGGTGCGCGACCCCGTCTCACCAATAGACCCTCTGGCTACAGCACAGCAACTTCCTCCACCCTCCTGACCGAGATCCAGGCCACTGCTGTGCCGGGGTTGCAGTCTCCCGTCTCCGCAGCCCCCTGAAAGCGGATATGAGGTCTCCTCTCCTGCCACAAAGCCCGTAACCCACGGGGTTGGCTGGGATGTTTCCCTGGGGTTCCCCTGGCTGGGGGCACAGCGACACCCCTGGACTCACCTTCTCCTTCAGAAACACAGCGTGGTCTGCGCGGGCCCTGTCCAGGACACTCTGGTTGGTGGTGTGATGCTGATAGCACCTTCGGTAGGTCTCCAGGAAGGTCTTGGCCTCCCGAGTCAGCTCCTTTTCTAGCTCCGTCAGCAGGGTCTCCTCCGGCTCCTGCAGCTCCTCCCGGCACCTCTCCAGCAGTGACCTGCGCTTCTCCACCAACTGCTCCGCCATTGTGCTCAGATCCACCTTCAGACAGTCGACCATGCGCCGGGACAGGCCGTCCTGCGTTGAGCCGGAGAGGAGCGGAGAATAGTGGGGTGCAAGGGGCTAGAAGGGGCGGGTGCGCGACCCCATCTCACCAATAGACCCTCTGGCTACAGCACAGCTACTTCCTCCACCCTCCTGACCAAGATCCAGGCCACTGCTGTGCCGGGGTTGCAGTCTCCCATCTCCGCAGCCCCCTGAAAGCGGATATGAAGTCTCCTCTCCTGCCACAAAGCCCGTAACCCACGGGGTTGGCTGGGATGTTTCCCTGGGGTTCCCCTGGCTGGGGGCACAGCGACACCCCTGGACTCACCTTCTCCTTCAGAAACACAGCGTGGTCTGCGCGGGCCCTGTCCAGGACTCTCTGGTTGTGGAAGGTGATGGCCATCTGTGCCGGGAGGACAAGGCTGGGGTGAGCCGCAGTTTATGGGGCCCCGACTCCACCTAGGGGCTGCCCCTTCCACCGCAGCAACCTCATGGAACAAAGCGAGATCGCCAGCCCGTGTGGAAGCTGCTTGGGGCTGCTGGTGCCACCACTTTTCAATTCGATCCCCGCAGCAGCCCGGCCTCGGCTCCCTTCCTTGCCCCGACCTGCACTTTGCCCTTGTGGCACTTTCCTGGAGCCGAGGACTTTGGAAACCCCTGTCCCAGCCGGGCTCGGCCTGAGGCTCATGCCCGAGAGAGCATCAGTGACAGCGGCTCTCGTAGGTCTGGTGGGATTTCGGGTTTTTTTATTGATTTCCAGGAGCCAGGTGAATCTCAGCTCTCCTTTGGGGGTGGGGGCTGGGTTAAATCTTCTTGTGGACTCTGGAACAGTCTCTGCTGTGCAGCTGTTGTGGACTGGCTATTGTGGAGTAGTTATTCTGTTCTAGCTGGGCCGGTCTATTCCCCCCAGGCAGAGAAGCTCCCGCATCCAATTCTCCTCACGTAGCTCCTATCGCAGCCCATCTGAGGCTGACGCCCAAGAGAACTTGACAGACAATGTCAAAGGGTCTGTCTACCCTGGGTCCTGCCCGGCTGCGGGGGAAGGCGGCGTGACTCGGACGTGGAGGGCTCGGTGAGGGCTGTGCTGGGACACTCCAAGTTTTATGTAGGAAAAACACCCCTATTCTCACACCTGCTCTTAAAAACTCCTCTCATTGAAACGCCAACAGGAGTTGCCTGGGGAAAAACAGGATTTGGTGCTATGGGTCTCAAGGAGTGGAGACGTGTCTGTAGGCGGGATGAACAATCTAGCACCAGCAGCTCTCCAGGCTAGTGAAATTCTTCTACCCTGGAGTCCAAGAAAATAAGATTTCACCCAGACTCTTTCCCAGTCACCTCCCGCAGCATGGACCCAGATCCCAACATTGCCCCAACCTTGACATGGAGGGGTGAGGGGACACACCCCATGATCAGCTCAGAGACAGAGACGGTACCTGACAGGGAGAGGAGAAGCCAGAGCGATGGTTCTTCATCACATCAGATAAATTCTGCAAAGGAACCAAAAGAAATCATCACATCACAGACTCCACAGGGCTTAGAAAGGCTGGGAACACAGGGATGGCTCGCCTGGCGCTGAGATGCAGCCACCTCTGGGGTGGGGCAGCTGGGGAATTGGGGGTATTGGGGTCATCACTGACTGCAAGGGGAGAACATCCCCTTCCTGCTCCCTCCAGCACAGCTGGCCCGTCCCCACCTTTATCTTGGCAGCAAGCTGTGTCCCGTTGAGCATCTCCCCATGCTGGTCCATCCGGACGTGTTGACCAGCCGAGCTCACCAGGGCGGTGACGTAGTCCCTCAGGCTCTCCCGGAAATCCTCATCCATGTCTGCAAAGGGGAGAGAGACGGATGATGATGGGGGAATACAGGGCCTGTCTGATCCCCCTACTCTCTACATGCTGCGCTCGGGCATGATCAGCGCCCCAGTCACATTGCTCTGCACAAGGCAGGCGACTTAGAGCTGCTGTCCTGGGTCCGTTACCTCTCAGCCTTCCCTCGCTCCCCATCGCGATCCGCTCGCCAGGGAAGGGCATCAGGTAACAGCAGCTGCTGCTTCTGCTCAGCGCTTCCAGGGCCTTGGGGTGTTTGCAAGGGGACCTCGCCTTCAGCATCTGCCAGAGCCAGGGGCAATGGTTACATTGACACACAAATACCTTTGTTAACATCAGCCAGACCTGCCAGGCGGTCAGAGAGGGTCTGGAGGGGCCCGGCCTCGTTTGTGGTAGACATTGGAAGGGGGCAGTGAACAAGACAGGGGACAGCAGGAAGCAAAAGGAGTGTCCTTCAGTCCCAGTCTCCCCGCTCCAAGCCCCTGTCTCCCCACCCCAGGTCCCAGTCTCTGCAGACTCCTTGTCCCACCCTGCTCCTTTCACTCCCCCGGCCTGGTTTTTCTCCCCTCCCCTTTGCATTCAAGCTGCTTCCTCCTCCACGCTGCCTGGGCTCATTGAGTGTAGGACAGCGACAGGTGCCCGGCCTGGAGCAGCAATTGCAGGGAAAGTCCAGCTTTGCATCTGCAGCCCCCGGCTGGAGGTTTCTCCGTGTGGATGGATTCTTTGGAGACGTCAGCGGCTAAACTCATGCCCAGTGTTTCTCGGCCTTGTTGTGCTGGTGACCCCCTTTGGCCTTAAAAGACAATTTGGACCCCTGTACTTAAAAAAAATGGTGACTTCCACCTTCAACCCGGGCGGCCCCCCCCCCCCGGGGCGGCGGGGCTGAAGCCGATGCCTGAGCCCCGGGCATCCAGGGCTGAAGCATGTAATTTAGCTTTGCAGGGTCCCCTATGGTGCAGGGCCCTGGACAAATATTCTGCTTGCCACACCCTAACTCCAGCCCTGCACTTGGGACCCCCCCCAGCATCACACAACCTCCCTGCGGTCCCACCTCCCCCATGTTGGAAACACTGGAGCCATCATCCCTTCGAGGGGAAAGGCCCCATGTCCCATTCCTCCATTCTCTGATTCCCACAGTCACCTCTTGGATGTATCTCAGATGCTGCTCCCCACCCTCGGCTCCAAGGACCGGGGAGCTGCTCCAATCCCGCACCAGAAGGTCTAGGTGCTGCAGGAGAGACAGGAGGGGAGTGAGGGTCTCTGGGGAGGGGGTGCCGTGTGGGGATACATGGGGCAGGGCGGGTGATGATGGCGGAAGCCATCTCACCTGAATGGGCTCCAGTCCGTACGCTTTTCCCACCTCTTCGGCCACACGCACAAACATCTGTAGAGCAAAGAGAACAGGGGTGGGGGACGAGTCTGGGGCATGGGAGGCATTTACACTGCGGGGTCATCCTGCAGGTGAACAGAAAGGGGCCTGATCGCTGCCCTCCATCCCCATCTGAGCCGCTCCCTCCGCCCATCGCAGAGAGCGAGGCCCAGCGAGTGCAAAACGAAGCTGGAGAGAGATGGAGATATTTTCCATGGGGTGGAAAGAGAAGTGGGAGGCACCCGGCCAAGAGGGTGGTGGGGGCGGCTGTGGGATCCTGTGCCCCACAGAGGAGCCAGTCTTGTTCCAGGGCTCCCTCCTTCACTCCAGGGCACCACGTGGCGGTGTGGGGGGGTCAGTGAGCCCAATGTGAGGTCTTTTCCCTGAGGGGTTCCTGAGATGAACCCTCCAACCCACAGAGCCCCATTGCCTCCGGCTGACAGACGCCACCAGCACTGTTTGCCCAGCCCCGGGGGTGACACCACGGCTCTGCTCGCGCCTCCAACAATCTCGGCCACGTGGCGATTACTCGAGCTCTCCCTGGACTGATCTAGCTCCACGTTAACCAGGTTTCTGCCCCCCACTGGACCCAGGGCCGTGTGGACAGATAAAAGCCCTCCCAGAGCCAACCCCTCCCCCGCACAGAGAATCCCCGCTGGGGTGCGGTGCAGGGGCAGGACACGCAGTATGTCGCAGATGGCAGAGATATCACTAAGGGAACGAGGGCCAGGGGCTCGACCCGGTGGGGCTGGGGCTGGGTAAGAGCAGAGCAGATCAGGGGGCAGAGCAACCGCCCAAGGACTTGGCCCCAGCAGACTTCCCACCAACGGCGGAGCTGGGCTGGAGGGGAGGGAGGGGTCCTAACTTTGACCCAGGGGCCCATGCCAGACACCTGGGAGCAGAGACCCGGGCTGGGCTGTGTGGTGACAGTGCTGAATCCAGAAGCCCACGTGACCGTGGGAGAGTCGGTTTCTTTATCTGGGCCTCAGTTTCCCCACAGGAGCTATGGGGAGGGATAATAACCCTGTGGGGCTAATGGGAGAACCTGGCCTGGCCACGTTCTGTGTCAGGCTGCCCGGCCTCACCTCCAGGTATTCAAGATCCGCGTCGTTCACCTCATTCGAAATATTCAGTATCTGCAGATAGCCAGGGGACAGACAGAGCTACAGCAATGAGCAGGGCCGGCCGCCCCAGGCCCCTTCCCAGCCACGTCACCCGCCCCGAGCACAGCGCCCCCTAGTGCCGCAGGGGGCATCGGGGCCGGCCCTGCCTGCCAGGGGAGAGCGCCCCCTACTGAGCCCCTGCCCTGCTCCCTGCAGCACAGCGCCCCCTAGTGCCCCAGTGAGACATTGGGGCCAGCCCGGACTGCTGGGGGAAATGTCCCCTGCGGAGCCCCCAAACAGTGCTCTGCAGCACAGCGCCCCCCCGGGGACCCCCAACCTGGTAGGAGCTGAGCAGCATGGAAAAGGCGGAGAGTTTGATGCTGTTCTCCTTCTTCCTTTCAATGCCCATGGAGCCCTCGGTGTCCACCAGCAGCACGGCCACCTGGGGGCCAAGAGGGAGAGCCTCAGGTCAGCTCCCGGCGTTGTTCAGCTACCCACGGCCCCTCCGCCCCCAGAGCCTGCCCCCTGCTCTGCCCCCATGGCCCCTGGCATCTCATTTCTATCCACCCCAGTGTTAGCTCCCTCCTCTCGCTCCTCTCCATTCCCCCCCGTTATGTCTCCATTAGGTTCCCCTGGGGCCTCCTTCCCCATGTCTCCATCCTTCCCTATTACCCCATTCCCTTTGTTCCCAGCCCTTTCCCCCTTTCCCTTCTCCTAGCAACCCCATGTCTCCTTCCCCCTTTCCTATGCACCCCCAATGCCCCCACTCACCTTCCCACCCTGGGTGGGGACCCAGATGGGCTGACTCCATGCCCACACCCCCTTGGTGACTTGCTGCATGTCGGCGCGCCACTCGAACCCCTCCAGGGGCTCATCCTCCTGGCCCATCCATGACCCGTCCCTCGCGTCCTGCCAGAAAGGAACATGCAGGGAGAGGGGTCAGTGCAGGGTGGGGGAGAAGAGTGACTGGTCCCCCTGCACACCTCCAGACTGTAAGCCCTGGGAAGGGGCTGGGGGTTAATTGTACAAGGGTGGGGCGGGGAGGAACACAGGGCGATGGGCGTGCTCAGATTCTGACAGATAAACAGTCAGAGACACACAGACACGCTGCATTCCAGACAGACACACAGACAGAAAGACAGACTTGCTCGGGTTCAGACAGATAGACAGACAGACAGACAATATTACCAGACAGAGTTCCAGGCAGACAGGCTGACTGACATGCAATGTGGTGTGTGTACTCACACACACGTGTGCAACTCTGAGCCCTCCAGCAGGGGGCAGGATGGGGCCGCTCACACCCCAGCTTGCTCCTGTTCCCGTTCACACTCACTGGGCTCTGGAGCCGGCGCAGCAGGTAGTTCAGCAGGAAGGATTTGCCCTGGCGCTGCTCCCCGACGATGGACACCACGCAGACGGGGGCGTCCCCCGCCCCACCCTGCTCCAGGCAGCGGCTCAGGGCCTCCTCATCCAGGATCAGGTTCTCTTCCTCATCCAGACGCGCCAGCTGCACTGGGTGGCCCGGCTCTGGCTGAGCCCCCAGCCCCTGCTGCAGGGAGAGAGCAGGGTCAGAGCTGGGACCCCACCCCTGAGCCAGCCAGTCCCCTGCTCCCTGCTGGATCAGAGCCCTGTGCCCCATTCTACCCCCTGAGCCAGCCAGTCCCCTGCCCTGGGGCTGGATCAGGGGCAGCACTCCCTGGAGGGGATCTTCAGTGGGATTCTACCTGTCCCTGGAGAAGAGCGAAGGTGAGACAAGATGCTGATGATCAACAGGTGGCTCAGGCAGTGGGGCTAAGGTGGGCGTGGGGATGTTCGGCCACGGGGAGGCGTTCACGGACAGAGGACTGGTCTCATGGGACGGACGCCACCTGAACAGGGTGCGGGATAGACTTCCGGGGTGGAGGTTGGCACAGCTGATGAAAAGGGCTTTAAACTAGGAACTCTGGGAGATGCTCATGGAACCTCCAGGAATGATTCTCACACTGAGCAGGAGGCAGGAGGAGAGGGTAGGAGCAACGGAGAAAGGAACGACAGAGGGCAGGAGAAGAGATGAGAAGAGGAACGATAGTGCCAAGAGCACCGACGCTGAGAGTCAGGTGGCCGATACCGGCAGCAAAGCCAAGTGGAAGCAGTGAGGTGTCTGCCCAGCAACGCGATGAGCCCGGGTGACAAAAGGGAAGGAACTAGAACTATGGGTGTGGGACAGGAAACCAGACACATGGTGCAGTAGCAGCCATGACCGGGGTACAGGGAAGAAAGACAAAAGGCAGAGGTTGCGGAGTAGCGTTGTGTGTTAATGAAGAGGTGGAGTGGAAAGAAATGAGAAGGGATGAAATGGGTGAAACAGAATCTTTTTGGGTCAAGATCACCGTGGGGAAGAAAGGTACCAGAGGCTCCCCTGGGAGAGTGTCTTGGGTCTGCTACAGACCCCCAGGATCCGGTTTGGATATGGATAGAGACCCCTTTCATAGCTTGAATGAAATAAATACCACTGGGAATTGTGTGATCATGGGACACTTTAATTTTCTGGACAGAGATTGGAGAAGTGCTGCTCATCATGGCAGGGCCCAGATAATCCTGGAGGTGAGACAGCTGAGAGGTTTTTTCATCAGTGACCAAAGCAACAAGAGGTGATGCCAGTTTAGATTTGGTATTGGTAAGTAGCGAGGACCGCACTAAAGAACTGGCTGTAAAGGACAGCCTTGGTTCAAGTGGCCATGAGCTAATTCCGTTTAACTAAATGGAAGGATAAACCAAAACAGGTCGGCAGCTGGGGATCCTGGATTTCAAAAAGGCAAGCTGCAAAAAAATAAGGGAATTAGGCAGGGAAGTGACCTGGCCTGCAAAGCTGAAGGATCTGGATGTGGATGGGGTTTGTCAAAGATGCAGGAACTCTCTGGAGTCTGCATCCAGGAAAAAGCCCATAGGGAAGGGTTGCTGAGCAAACTGGGTGAACCAGGATTTCAAAGAGGTGATTAAGAGAAAGCAGAAAGCCTCTGAGGAATGGAAACTGGGAGGAATCCATGCAGGGATAAAATGAGAACTGCCAAAGGCCAAGCAGAATTTGAACTTGCAAAAAAATTAAAACCAACAGGAAAAAGTTCTTTAGCCTCATAAAGAAAAAGAAAACAAGTAAAGAAGAAGTGGGACCGCTAAGCGCTGAGGATGGGGTGGAGGTAAAAGATTCAGGCTGCATGGGCCAACACCTAAAGATATAGGCATGGCCTCAGTTTTTAAGAAGCATAAGGAGAAGCTTGTGGCCAGACAGCTAATGAGAACAAGAACACGGGAGTAGAAATTGTCACTGAATTGGCTGAAACGGAAACCAGAGTCAAACAAGTTAATGGGTGCAAACTGGGGGGCCTGGATCATCTCCATCCTCGAATATTAAAGAAATCAGCACATGAAATTGCAAGCCCAATAGCAAGGATTTCTAATTAATCTACAAAAGTCAGGGGTAATATCTAGGGTCCTACCAAATTCACAGCCATGAAAAATGCCTCCCAGATGGTGAAATCTGGTCTCCACCTTGAAAATCTCTTCTTTTGTGTGCTTTTACCCTAAACTATACAGATTTCACGAGGAAAACAGCATTTCCCAAATTGGGAGTCCTGACCCAACAGGGAGTTCTGTGTGTGTGTGGGGGGGGTGGGTCGCAAAGTTATTTTAGGTGGGTCACAGTATTGCCACCCTTAATTCTGCACTACCTCCAGAGCTGGGATCCTGGCCAGCAGCCGCCGCTCTCCAGCTGCCCAGCTCTGGAGGCTTCTTGACTGAGCTTGATAAGTTTATGGAGGGGATGGTCTGATGAGACTGCCTACGATGGCATGTAGCCCAAATGCGAGTGCTAGTAGCAAATATCCCGCAAAGGGCGGTGATGGGACACTAGATGGGAAGGGCTCTGTGTTACTAGAGACACCCAGGTGTCTGGCTGGTGGGTCTTGCCCACATGCTGAGGGTCTAATTGATTGTCATATTTGGGGTTGGGAAGGAATTTTCCCCCAGGTCAGACTGGCAGAGACCTGGGGGTTTTTCGCCTTCCTCTGCAGCATGGGGCACGTGTCATTTGCAGGTTTGAACTAGTGTAAATGTGGATTCTCTGTAACTTGAAGTCCTTAAACCATGACTGGAGGACGTCAGTGACTAGCCAGAGGTTCTGGGTCTATTACAGGAGAGGGTGAGTGAGGTTCTGTGCCCTGCAATGTGCAGGAGGTCAGAATAGATGATTATGATGGTCCCTTCTGGCCTACCAGTCTGAGTCTGTGTGTCCCATTCCCCACCCCCTGAGCCAGCCAGTCCCCACTCTGGGGCCAGATCAGGGCTGGTACCCTCTAAAGGGGAAAGTCCCCATGTCCCATTCCCCGCTCCCCTGAGCCAGGCAGTCCCTGCTCTGGGGCTGGATTGGACCCAGCATCCCCTACAAGAGAAAGCTCCTTTTCCCCTTATCTGACCCATCTGGTCTCACCGGCTCCGGCTCTTCCTGCAGGTGCTCGGTGATTTTCTCCACCAGGTTTCTGACACGTGTGTCTGGGATCATCCTATTCCTGGAGCAGGAAGCCCGGCACTCCGGGCAGCGGTGCCCCTGGGCTGAGACCTGGCTCCAATGAGCCGCGAGGCAGCCCCGGCAGAAGTTGTGGCCGCACTCAATGGAGACGGGGTCGCTGAACACGTTCAAGCAGATGGAGCAGGTGACGTCCTCCCGGAGTTGCTCCATCCCTCTGATCCCGCAGGCCTGGGGAGATCCACTGGGTTAGTAGCTAGCACATGGGAACACCGGGGCTAAGATGCTACCGCAGAGGGGCTGGGAGCCAGGACTCCCGGGCTCTATTGTTAGTTTTCACCACTCGGCTGGGTAAGATTCCAGTCACTGCTGTGAGCTGGCCATTCCCATTTTGGGGCAGGGCTGGCAAGTGTCTCTCTGCCCGTGGGGTTTTGGGATTCCTGGGGGCCCTGGGAGTGCAGGGAATGACACAGCCACCCCCGCCCCCAGCTCAGTCTGCTAGAAACACCCCACCAGCCAGGACGTGGGTTCAGCCGTGGGGTGAGACTGTCAGAGCTGGCCAAGGAGCCTCGAAAATGGCAGCTGCCGTCACTCCTGTTCTTATTAAAGGGGGGCTGCCTTGGGCATTCTGAATCCCCCCCCCCCACCAAGCTCACAAGGCCCCTGGGGCTCCTGGACAAAGAGCAACTGGCCAGAGCAAACCCTGTCAGTGCCCCTGATCTCCGATCCACAGGCCCCTGCTAGCCCAGCCCTGGGCTTCCCCCACCCCAGTTCTGCCAGTGCCCCTCACTCCCGACCCACGGCCCCCTGCTAGCCCAGCCCTGGGCTCCCCCTTCTCCCAGCTCTGCTCCTGTAGCTCACCCAGGTGAGAAAACTCCAGCGTAGACCCTGTGGTTAATTCTCTGTTTGTCTCTGGTTTTTCCGCTCTGCCTCCCTTGCTGTCTGCCTGTCTCTCTGTGCACTGAACGACGGGCTGCGCGCTCCCCTCTCAGTTCCACTTTCAGTCTCTTGTTCCGTAACCCGGAGCCATGAGCGCGGTTGGAGCCGTTTGCTTCTGCAGGGCCCCAGTAGCACTGGACGGCAAACGGATCTGAGTCCTCGCGCCAGTTCCCTTGACCCAGAAGCCTGCCTGTCCTGGAGGACTGCCTATGGGGCGAAGTCCTCGTAACCCTGACAGGTCTGGGCTCAAAGTTGCTGGAGACCACCCCCAGTCTGGCCGTGGGTCGCTCAGGAGAGGGACCAGGGCATCCTCGCTGTGGGGTGCTCACTCCGCACCAGCTGCTTCCCTGACCCACTGATCTCTGCAGACAGTTCAAACCAAATACCACTGAGCGAACAGCAGTGGTAAAAAAATAAGGGGAAAATGGGAAAAGCTCAAGGAACAAGGGGCCCCACCCAAAGGGCCCAGGGAGACTAGAAACAACCATCTATGGGGCTGGAAGGAAAGTTCACAGTCTGCTCCTCACATGTCCCAGGCCTCCTGCCCAGGCCCTGGTTGCACTGCAGTGATATCATGGGTCAGACACTTACGCTGACTCTGTGGGTGCTCTGGGGCTGGAGCACCCACACGGGGGGAAATGGTGGGTGCTTAGCACCATGGGCCTCTCCCCCCTTCCCAGCACCTATCGCCTGCCACGGATCAGCTGTTTCGTGGTGTTAGCAGGTGCTGGGGGGAGGGGGGAAGAGAGAGGGCCCAGCGCACTCAGAGGAGAGGGGGAGGGAAGAAGCAGGGCAGGGGTGGGAGATTGGGGGAAGGGGAGGAGTGGGGGTGTGACCTGGGTGGAGCCGGGGGGAGAACCCCCTGGCAGATTAGAAACTTGGCGCCTATGCCCTCAGGCTCTAGGTGGGAGGACCCTTCTCCCCAGCATTGGCCCTCCCAGTGGGGTCATGTCCTCCGAGTATGGCCATCGAGGTCTCTCATCAGGCAACATCTCCCTGCCCAGCCCCTCCACCCCCATTCTCCCCAGCCACCCCCCAGGCTCAGCTGCAGTGTTACATGGGGCACGGCCAGCATCCGGTATCCCGACTCTGGCCCCACGGCTCCTCCTGCAGGTCGACCCTGTATCCCTGGTCTCCGCTGTCCCAGCTCCCGGCTCTGCACAGCCACAGCTCAGCCTCCAGCCCAGCTCAGGCTGCTGCTTTCCCCTTAACTCTGCCCTCTTCTGGCTCAGGCAGCTCCAGCTCACACAGAGAACAGGCCTCTGGGCTCCTGACTCCCTCATTGGCCTGCCTGCCCTGTCAATCAGGCTGACTGGGAGCTTTGGCCTCTCCCCATTGGTAGTTTTTCTTCAGTCCTTCCCCTTTCTTTTGGGACAGGGCCAGCCAAAACCCCCACTAAGTTTCAGTGAGGGGCCAACAGCCCCTGACACTTGGCACATGGGCCGAGCCTGGGCACATTCCCTGGACTCTTGCCCAGGGCCTCTCCCCTCAGCACTGGTGTATCGGGGGTTGACCTGGGGAAGGGAAAATTGGTGACACCCCCAGAACTCCTTACACAGCTGGAACCACCCACTGGAGACCCCCAAACAAGGCGCTACTCACAGCACCTTGCACCTGCCCTCACTGCCCGGCTCCAAGCTCGGACAAGCTGCAAAACAGCCAGTGAGGGGCGGGGCAGAAATTTCCCATCCCAGCGGTTTCTGGACTGGAAACCGGGATTTTTCCAGACTGTGACATTTGCCTCCCGAACGTATCAGAAAACAGTGACCGTTGGAACGACGAGTCGACGTCCCGGCA